CAGATCAAAACAGATATGTGGTGAATAGCGTAAACAATCTACACACAATCATATAAAAACAGTCAGGATTAATAAGCGAATAATTGACAAGGTTAAAATGTGACTCAAGAAGGGTGAATAAATTGGCCTGTCTGGAAGCTAGAATTACCAATTTGGGGTTGACATAGCAACCGACATTACATTATAAATTTATGCAACACAATTTATACTACTATTGAGTAGTGTGAAAGTGTGTCATAAATTCTGAGTTGATCTAGTGGAACTCATATATATATTAGCTTTAAAAAAAGGTATAATTCTTTAAACATTTTTGTCGTCAATAAACACGAACAAAATGAATTTGCATTACTTTTATATCAACGAAGATCTATCTATTAAGGTAGTTACAAAAGGTTTTCCGTTCTTAATAAAAGTTAATATACATGAAGTTCTTGCGTTGTTCCTTTGTACTATTTAAACTTGGATTAATTTTGATTCGGTTATTTGTTCTCTGAAGAAGTAGCTTACACTGAATTACGAAACGTCAGGAAATCAAATTTTCTTCCCATTGGTATATTACAAATATATTATTCGATTTATAAAGTTTATTATTTGAAATACATTTTTCACGATTTGTTTTATTTAGAATTACTAATTGTATATTTTATATTAATTTCTGAATGTTATGAACATATGAAATCAATCAGTAATATTTGAGTTGAAATAAAGTTTGAACTGCCCCCAAATGCCCCGGTACAGTCGAGGATGGGGAGAGTCATCCCTTCCTCTCCAAATGCTCTCACATGGCAACATGCATACAACCACTGCCAGAGAAGTTCTACTCACTGCATTTTCGCATAGAGGGTGTTGTTTACAAAATTAAGTGGACAATAAGCGAATGTCCGACGCTTTAACCGGGTTTCTGGGCACGGAGGGTCCACTTAAGTCAGTCAGTCAGTCAGTAACAACGTAGAACTTCGTACGTACGTACATCAGTTCGAGTTGCCACACCACATTAGCACAGAGATGCACTTGTCGATTCAAATCCCGTAGTGATAGAGGTAATAAGAGTATAGGCAGTAATCGGGAAGATTAGGGTTTGGAGATGTTATTTAAAGAGTATAATCCAGTGAAAGAAATTTGGAAAGAGGAAAAAAGGGACATGAAGAATTCAGAAGAATAGAGTTTGGGAGAACACAGAGAGTGGATGCACATGTGCCATTGCAAACGATTTTGAGCCATGTCATTCAGGGTCTCTAACCATCGGTTGCTGTCATCTCGCGGTCCCCAACCAGGTAGTCTACACCTACCAACATGACTCAGTTCACTTGTCAGTGACTTCATGGACTTGTGCCATGTTTTGGTTTGGCCGCCCCTAGCTTTCTTCCAACCTACTCCTATACCACTGAACATAGCACGTCGAGGCAGTCGGTCGTTGGGCATACGTAACACGTGTCCCAGCCATCTCAACTGATGAAGTTTCACTACGTCATCAATTGATTTGCCATCCTTACCTAGTACCCGTTTCCTAACAACTGTGTTACTTACTCGATGGTCCCATGATATATGAGCAATGTTTCGAAGACACCTATGATGAAATACTAGTAACCTACGGATATCCTCTACTCTTACCGGCCATGTTTCACTGCCATAAAGTAGGTCAAATGAATGACGCTACTTGGATCCTGTATGCGCGTTTCGAAGACGCAGCACACATCGATGGCGCGAGATTCTAAAGTTTTAGCTAAGGAAGCCTGCTGTCCTATTTGGCAAAGTGTTCGTATGTTAAAAGCTCCTACGTGTAGTTTAGAGCGTGGTTTCAGAAGACCAGGAATGGCGTTCCACGTACTCGAATCGTTTGCCCTAGCGGTGCGAGGTGATAAAGAGACGTGAGGAGGGTTAGTCGGGAGGATAAGAGAGGTATTAGGAGGTGTAGGAAGGATTTGAATGTGACCAACTTTGTCTCGTGTGCTGTTACGGGTATGAGGGCTGATGTCACTTCCCGGCTGCCCACACCGTGGAAGGGTATTTCTTGATGAACCTGAAAAGGAAATTGGATTAGTGCTGGTCTTGACGACCTGGGAGCGTGACCGCAGAGCCCAAGGGACAACTGCTTGAGGCCGGTCGCGCACGGCCTTTTTGTGGAAGGTTTTTGACGTGTTAGCTCCGTTCTTCAAGGGGCCTTACCGCCGGAGACGGAAATCCGTGAGGTAAGGTGAGGTGTGCATTTTTAGGGTCGACCTTTTCTAACCCCACCCCTCCTTGTGGGAAGGCAGCATCGCTGTCATGCTGGTTGTCCGAGGGAAACACCTTACTGCTGTCACACCTCTCTACAGTCAGCAGTACGACTTCGCCCTCAGACCTTGAGTTGCTGCTTTTAGTCTTACCGTTCGCCAATCGACCTGCCTGGCATGGTAGAACCTGCAGGAACATATGTTCCAGCCAATATAGCTCGGTTGGGTCATCACGATAGGCAAGCCCGACCACCGCGTCAAGGTAGCAGCTTCGATCGGGGGTCCACTTAAGGGAGTTGGAAAACCTGATTACAAACAAGGTGTCATACATAGGCCCCAGGATACTGGGGGAACAAATGGCGTACGAACAAATTATTGCTTATCGATTGCATCTTGTGACGTTGCTCCACTGCCTTGTGGATCAGACCTTTAGGTAAAAGGCTCTGAGTGTGGCCCCCTAACAAAACCACTTGCTTCGGTCTGGGCACGCGGACAGTATCACAGCCTACACGCAAATCAAGTGAATTGTGAGGTGCATATGTATTCAGTGCCCCTCTGTACCAATATTTATGTGTTCAAATAAATAAATAATTAGCGCGCAGATAAAAGGTTGTTACACAAATTATAGCATAGAGAATAGGGATCCTAGAACTTTATAGTAGAAATATAAGAGCCTTTTTTTCTAGTTTCCCAACTATTGATTTCATTTTCCGTAAATCACTGAAATACTTGACTACATCTCTATTCACTTGAATCTTAATCTAAAAGTTCGTATGATAAATTCCGAACAAATAAGATTTGTTGAATTCTTCTATGAATAAATAAGTCAGTGAAGTGATAATTCAACTCTTCCTTGATATATTCTACCAAAAATCATAACAGTATGGTTAGACAACTTATCAATAACTTCCACCCATCAGTGATAATCTCACTGATAATTGCCTTTATAATAACTATAAGCAGTTGTTGACCATTACCTCAAACTGATGTCTACTCCAGCCATTTTTTTATCTATTCCTATTCATCATAACTATTACTGATTGGACTGATTCCGAGATGGTGAAGACTTATAGCTCAGGTGGATGACTTTGATGGAGTTTTGTTCACTGAATTGAATGGTTTGATCGTGGAGTTTTCATTCTTCTTCTGAACAATATCACCAGACAAAAACTTCAGGTAAAAGTAAAGTGTTCGAATTTCTCCATTCATATGGTTCATATCTTGGTCCTATAGACCTCGATGTTGATTGGTTCATTGTTTATTAATTGTTTACCAATGGGAGATACAACCAAAATAAAGAAGTAAACAATGACAGATTGAAAGTCAACAATAACTAATCAACATTAAGGTTTACAGAATAAGCTATTAATCATATATATGGAGAAATCCGAACATTTCACTTCTATCTGAAAAGTTTATGCTAATAATAGCGTTTATAAGCTCCATGAACCAAATCATTTAACTCAAAGAATAAAACTTTATCAAAATGAATTGATTTTGTAACTAACCACAAAAATAAATATCAGTCAGTCAGCTACAACGTAGGACCAGGCACATTTATAGTCAGTCAGTCAGTCAGTCAGTAACAACGTAGAACTTCGTACGTACGTACATCAGTTCGAGTTGCCACACCACATTATCACAGAGATGCAGTGGTCGATTCAAATTCTGTAGTGGTAGAGGTAATAAGAGTATAAGCAGTAATCAGGAAGATAAGGATTTGGAGATGTTACTTAAAGAGTATAATACAGTGAAATAAATTTGGGAAGAGAAAAAAAAGAGACAAGGAGGAATAAGAAGATTAGAATTCGGGAGAACACAAAGAGTGGATGCACCTGCGCCATTGAAAACGATTTTGAGCCATGTTATTCAGAGTCTCTAACCATCGGTTGCTATCATCTCGCACATTTATATGCATCAGTCCAAGTTGCCATGACAAAAATGAATATCGATCTTTAAACAAGAATATTAATAATTCAATCGAATAAAAATGATTCAAACATGAACACAACCAATAACATCACTCAATCAATCATGACAACAGTACATAACAACAAATGAAAGAAGAAAAAAACTGACCCCTTTAAATGATACTTTTTTTTTATTATTTTCAACTGTATACTTTTGTTTGTTTTACACAAAAACTATTTGAATTCGTTATTCATGAATTATGAAATAAACAAAAGAACCTTAATAATCATCAATATAAATCAAACATTAAAACAAAACAAAAATTAAAACAAAACAAAACAAAATGAATGACTTATTTATTATTACATAATGATAAATATAAATACAATTGGTGGTGGTGGTGTTGTTGTTGTTGCTGTGGATGTTGTTGTCATTGTTGTTTTTGTTGCTGAGTGACAAAAGAGAAAAAAATTTTCTTAAAGATAAAAACAACTCGAATGTTAAATTGTTTTGTTTAGTTGTTTATTTAGTTTTCTTTGTACAAGGATAGAAAAATCTCTATTGTAATTACTAACAATAGTTAGTAGTAGTAGTAGCAGTAGTAGTAGTAGTAAATGAATAATAAATACAAAATGTTTTTTTGTTTTTGGTGAGAGAAATCATAAATTTAATTGTATATCAACTGAATTCTATTTAAAAACTATGCCTATTTCGATGTAATTTGCGGGGGGGGAGGAAGAGAGAGACAGAAGAAAAGGGAACAATACATATGGAGAATGAATAGAATGGAATAAGTATTATCAAACCAACAAAAAAAGAAAAGATAATACTTTTTATATAAGGAGATCAGTTATTTCTATTGATAGAAACAATGAATTATATTAAATTAGTATCTGAAGTCGATGCAACTGTATGCGGTGGTTGAAGTTCTGGCAATGGTCCATCTAACCACTAGAAATTTTTTATTAAAAAGAAAAAACAAATACAAATTAAGATTGAATGAATAAATTGTAAAATATGTATAAAATACGAAAACATATATATTGTATAAGCAAAGATAGATAGTGGCTAGCAGTGAAATCCAGGAAGTACATTTCATCCTATCTGGGACTCATCAGTTGAATGTACCTACATCTCAGAGTTGATGTTCACTGGGAAGATACAAGCAAACAACACCAAGTGAGATATACTATAGTTTCAATTCATTTATTTAGACAAGTTATTTATTTATTCATTTGTTTATTTATTTGAACACATAGATATTGGTACAAGGGGGCACCAGATACATATGCGCCACACAAATCTCAATTGATTTGTGTGAGGGATGTGATAATGACAATTGGCTATCAACTAATTTTTACTTTGAAAATAGTGTAAAAATAGTAAGCCAAAAGTATAAGAGAGAATCAGTTGCATTTAATACAACAATTTCAAGGCCGATAAGGATAATTGAAGAAAGAATATCGAATTATCGGATTAGATGTCACCTCATTTCGAAGATGATTTAACCACGTATTTACAAAACAAAGCCCCTAAATGCCCTGTTACGGCTGAGAGTGGGGAGAGAGTTGCCTCTCCCTCTAGAAATGATCTCACACGGCCATGTGTATATAGCCTCTGCCAGGGAAGTCTTACTCACTGCTTTCTCGCTCCACGGATGTTGTTTACGAAGTTGAGAGGACGAAAAGCGAATGTCCGGTGCTTTCACCGGGTTGCTGGACACGAAGGGTCCACCTAAGGAAGTTGGGAAACCCTGATTCCGAATCAATGGTGCACATGGGTTCCAGTATCCTGAGGGAACAAATGGCGGATGAACCAATCACTGGTCACCGGCTACCATGGGACTGCATCTCCTTACGTCGCTCCACTGCCTTGTGGATCAGACCTGTGAGTCGAAGGCTCCGGGTGTGGCTCCCTAAGAAAGCCACCCACTTCAGTTTAGGCACCCAGGTAGTATCACAGCCCTCACACAAATCAAATGAGATTTGCGTAGCGCATATATATCTGGTACCGCCCTTGTACCAACATTTATGTGTTCAAATAAATAGATAAAATAATTAAAAAACAAAAGATTGCTGACAAAAACAATTCTATACGATGCGACAGTAGACAAGAAATAATGTCAAGAAAACGTGAAAACAAATATAATGAGAAGCGATTTGATTTTTACTAATTTTAAAGTGACTAAGACAAATCATACTGCTAGTTAAGAACTTTATAGTCTTTAATACAAACATGGTAAATTCACACAATTGAATATTCATTTTAGAATATAACATCTGATCGAGTATGTGACTGTCAAATGGACTACTACAATTCTATTAGTTAACTTTTTCTGAGTTGCTTGATTAATTAGAATATGTAATATACTAATCTTTCTAATACACTTTTGTTTAGTTATACTTGTCTATCCGTTTCTCTATTGATTATATTACAATATTATTATATTAATCTATAAATAGAGACATGTTGACTGAATGACACTACACGATTTGAATTTATCGTAATACAATGCAAATCAAACTTATCTAATGCAATCATGAACTTCATTCATTCAAATACAGTTGCTGGTGATTCTAGGTGCCAGTTCAATTCTGGTAATAATCTGATACGACCATTACTTCAATCCAGTCGTATCTAATAAATCTTTACATTGATTCTCTTTAATGATACTGCATATTAAAATCAACTTAATTACATAAACATATATTTAGTAATATTCATATTCAAGTTCCTATTTAATCTAATCGTCATCGATCATTAATTTAATGATTATTTATTTAGTTATTTCAACACATAAATATTGGTACAAGAGGGCACCAAATACATATGCGCCACATCATATTTGTGTGTGTGGGCTGTGATACTGCCCGGATGCCCAGATCGAAGCAGGTGGTTTTTTTAAGGGGCCACACCCCGAGCCTTTGACCTAAAGGTCTGACCCACAAGGCAATGAAGCATCGTGAGGAGATGCAGTCCCATGGTAGCCGGTGACTAACGATTGGTTCATACACCATTTGTTCCCTCAGGATACTGGAGCCCATGTACACGATTGGTTTGGGATCCGGTTGAAGCTCCGGACATTCGCTTTTCGTCCTCTCAACTTCGTAAACAACATCCGTGCAGCGAGAAGGCAGTGAATGTGACTTCCTTGGCAGAGGCTGTATACGCGTGGCCGTGTGAGAGTATTTCGAGAGGGAGGGCGGGCCCACCCCACTGTCGGCCGTACCAGGGCATTTGGGGGCTGAGTTTTGTTGAATCTATAGTAATTTCAATGGGTAAGATCATGAGTCAGTTGAAGCTAGACCAACATAAGAAACCTGGAAGCACTGGACGGCCGTTTCGTCCTATTGTGGGACTCCTCAGCAGTGCAAAAAAATAAAAAATAAATTTAATGATAACGAACTGCCTCAAAGAAACTCCTGTAACCAGTGTACTTCCAATAACTGATATAAATGAAGTAAAACCACTGTAATATTTCCAATACTTTAAATATGTATGCTCAGAAATAATGATCATAATGATACCCTGGGTCAATCGGGTATAAGCCAAGTGATAAGTGAGAGATGCTCACGGTTGCACACTATTAGTCAAGATTTGGATTCACTGTCTACAAAGTTGATTAACATAGAATCATATGAATAAGTCCCTCTATCAGACTCACTTTAATTTCACTATATAAGGACCCCTTACTAACCTTGACAAATTCATTATTATAAACTATTCTTTCTTATAACCTGCTTTCTGATTAACTGAAAACGAACAAAACTATTTCGAGGTTATTTCAAGAGTCATTCAACTATGTCTGCCCTAATTTATATTTAATTAAACAAATAAACAAGATAAAAACAATTTACCTCAATAAGTGAATGTTCTGGGGCGGAAATAGCACGCATATGTTCATGTATTACAATTTTTGAAAAACGATCATGTTCAGTAAACCAACGAGTTTCTTCTTGTGTATCACCACGTAGATTAGCAACACCTTTAAGTAAAGCAGTTGCCCATAATTGAATTCCTATATCAGGTAAACGATTAGCTATGTGAATAGCTGCACTAATCATTTTATGACCTTCCTAAAATTAAATGAGTAAAAAGTTCATGAAAGTAAATTATTAGCATATGAGGATAGTGAATAATGTCCCATTTATATTTAACATGACAGATTTCATAATAGCATTAATTGTGACATGTAGAGTTTATCAATCTGACATGTTAGATAGATACATCATCAAAGGTAGTGGATGATAATTACCTTATACCGAGAACAGGCTGAACTTAAAAATGTAAACCATTGGATACCAACTCAATAATTTAAAAATAGCATACATCGTCTAAATATCCAGTTATTGATTCCCAATATGATCACGAGTGAGGAGTGCTGTTATGATATACTATGATATGATATACTATAGAAACAGTCATTATTATTTTATTGATTGAGATCATGAACCGATTGATGTTAGACCACCATGGAAAACCTGAAAGCACCTGAGAAGTGGTGACCAGTAGAGTTCAATTAGGTCCGTTGGGAGAAAGTAACTCACTGAAGACAATGGCGGACAGTGGCGCAATTTCATGGATTGATTGAGGTCAAACATTAACACTATTGGATGCCGGCTTTGTGCTCTGAAGCTTAGGCGTTCGCGAGCAAGACTGATAGGTCTTGAGTTCGAATCTCGTGGGGTGGGATCGTGGATGCACACGGCTGAGAAGTCCCACAATAGGACGAAACGGACGTCCAGTGCTTCCAGGTTTTCCATGATGGTCTAGCTTCAATGGACTCATGATTTCAACTATTGAAATTACTAAAATCTCCATAAAACCCCTTCTGATAATAAATTGCTACAATATACATAATATTATGTCACTGTGAATTTATTACTTCAAATATCTATACTTACAGCTGTATTTTGTTCATTTAAATGAATTTGACCCATGGTAATAAAAGCTGAAGCTGATAAACGATGCAATTCTTCTTCATTCCCTAATCGTACAGTTTCACGTAAAAATAATTTTGCATCTGTTAGTCGATTTTCATAAAATGCTTGAAATGCTCGTACATAATCTGCAGCAGCACGAAGACAACAACAACCTTCAAGTACATGGATACCACATGAAAATACTTCATTTAACAATGCCTATAAGTAAAAACAAGTAATTAATGGGAAATCAAACCAGTTGATAAGATTATTTATAAATGACTGACGAATCTTTTCACTGATAATAACCATTATATATATATATATATATATATATATATATATATATATATATATATATATATATATATATATATATAACATTGGGACTCAAAGAGACAGTTACACATTTTTGGTACCAGGGCCCAATGAGGACCAAGAATCGTTTAGCTTTAAATGTCTAACTAACCGTCTGACAGTATAAATGATGGGAGTAAATCATATAATCAGTAGCTCGTGGAATAACTGTGAAGTTTGTTTATTGAACTTCGAAATATAATGCAAACATTGTATGTTTAACTTTAGAAGTGAATATACAGAGAATGTCACAAGTAGAATCCCGGCCAATATTGAACAGATCAGATACATTTAAATACACTCATGCAATTCAGGGGAACTGCTAGCCAATTCAACGACCAACATCATCGATGAGTTGCATTTGATTTTTAATGCAACATCCCATGGATTCACCTGTGACAATCGGCACATTATTAAAAATGTTCAAATCCCGTGTTCAATGACTATGTTTTACGCAATGTATGCAAATTATCGAATTTCATGAGTGATTAGAACTAAGGGTGGAGGTATGTAACATTTTCTAATTTTTTTTGAAGAAGAAGAAGAAGAATGAACCGAAACATTTTAGCATCATTAGCTACAAAAGACAGTCTTGTGAAGCTTACAAATCCTTATCAATAAATCTAATATGTGAGCAATCCAGTGAATTCCGTTTATATTATATCTAAAACTGATTTCGAATCTCATCAGAAATATTATTATTTAGTTAGATTGGCAATGAAATACACTGATCAAATATATCGATGATTATTTCTAATTCATCACTTGGTAAAGATTATGTCCTGACTTTGATATCCACTGAAGCAAACAAAAAACGGATGCATAAGATAGAATCTTACATAGATCACAATAATCCATTATTATTATGAGCTGTTAGCACTTACATTGGGGTTTGCAGAATCTAGCCTTACCTCTAACATGTGACAATTAGAAGTTAAGAACCAGTGTGAAATGTTCTTCACCTGGATCAATGTATCTTAAGCGAAATAAAGCTTAATAGATCACATAATATCGCAAGGACACATAGTAATTGAGAAATGCACGTATGGTCAGAATGACTGTGGAATTTTTGCTAATTAATAATTCCATTATACATTATTCCATGGATAATTTGAATTGAAAAATACAATACCTTCGGGTGTCCCTCAGATTTGAATAGTGGTGTTCATGACTACCACATTACAAACTGGACAGTCCTGGGAAATAATAATACAATTATACATCTGGCTACAGTTTCCATCCACAGATCTCTATAAGGATCGGTTCATACGTATAACTTAATAATAATACTATCAATAATTGCATTATTCAATACTAAAAACTCAGTACAATATGGAATTCCCAGCAAAAAATATGCACATACTTATCTAGATTTTGTCCATAAAGCTTTCTACCTACTCTTTGTTAAAACTTAGGATAATACATGAAAGATGTATATAAATGGTCAGTTTAAATATATAAATAGTGAACAATAGATAGGAAGCAATAGGAATTCGAGTCAACACGTCTAGTCATTGAGTAATACTCTTATCTCTTCCATGGGTTAATGAAAATCAGCTTACAGATATCATACTAAAGACACATGTCATACAAACTACTTCAAACCAATACATTTTTGATGGTATTGTAATCCTTTGATGATATAGTCAGTTAGTTATAAAAAAAATCTAAAACCTAACAAATAGATCTATTGGTTCAATATGTGCTATACCACACAACAGCATAATGAAAGAAAAAATTAACAAGAGGAGTAGATAATAATAAATTTCAGCCTGACAGCTAAACATAAGAATAAATGATATAGAGGAATGTTAACTTGAGATATAACACTTAATTCAGTATTTAAAGAATGTTAAAGAATAAATAAAATTATGTCATTGATGTGGATCTTGTCTCCAACCGCAAACTACAATTAAGGTTTAGACTTGAAGTGTTCATAAACGAATACAACCCTAAATGAATAATAACTTCATAATTTGTTTAGTTAGTACTACTGTAGTGAACAGAACACCAGTGGGGACAATCAAACGTGTTCAATACAAAATTACAGGACTTGTTAATAAAATCTAACAATCATATAGTGAATGCTTAATTTGCAAAATGTAAATCAGTTGTCTCATAATGATTCAGACTTCATTGTTCTTGCATTTTCATACAAATTGTATTCTGTTCCCATTCTTTACTGTTCGATCCTCTTGTCTCTCTGCTGCCAGACCTTCTGTTCATGACTAACATCATATACTACTTATGTGGATATAAGTAGCACACACCACACTACTAGCCATAATTTAATCCACTTTTATATTCATTAACAAATACTAGTCACACATATAAATTAATCTACGTTGACAATCGCATCGATTGAATTTATCAGGGTAAATTTAGTCTACATAGAAATAAGCGTTAAACTATTGAAAAACTGATTATTTATTAGTATATTTTATTAAATTTTTCTACATCATAACAAGTGAGATGACAAAGTATCGGATGTATTTGTTTGTTTGTTTTCTTTTATCAGAATTTATATACAAATGTTGACTTTTCAAATAAATTTATTTATTTACATATATAAACATTGGTACAAAGAGGTCTGGGATACTGCCAGGGTGTTCAAAGCAGGTGGTTTTCGTAGGAGACCACACTCTAAATCTTCGATCTAACCGTCTAATCCACAAGGCAGTGAGGCAACGTAAGGAGATGCAGTCCCATGGTAGCCGGTGACCAACAACAGGTTCATACACCATTTGTTCCTTCAGAATCCTGGAGCCTATGTACACCATTGGTTTTGAATCAGGTTTTTCCAACCCCCTTAAATGAACCCTCCGTGCTCAGCAACCCGGGTAAAGCACCGGACATTCGCTTTTCGTCGTCTCAACTTCGTAAAGAACATCCGTGTTGCGAGAAGGCAGTGAGTAGGACTTCCCTGGAAGTGGTTGTATGCACGTGGCCATGTGAGAGCATTTGCAGAAGGAGGGCTGACTTCCCATTCTCAGTCGTACCAGGGCCAGATTGATTAACAAGTGTAATGCAAATAAATCTAATCATGAAATATGTATTTCTTATAAAAATGTAGTGGATAAGAATTTTACATTATTTATGATCTTTCTGTACATGTACAATTAAACATTTTTTTGTGTATTTTAACTCATTTCAATCAATTTAATACAGACAAGATTCGAACCTATAACTTAGAAGATTTAATTATAATTATTATTGAAATGAATTAATAGACTGAAAAAGATAATTCATATACACTTACTTCACATTCAACCGTATTACCTTTCCGAATATGTACTAAAGCTAAATTAAGACAAATTAATACTGACAAAGAATCACGTGGTCCATCTGGTTGACATGATGCCCTGGTAGAATTTGTTAAACTTAAAAGATTTTTATCATTTGAATTAGTTGTTCGACATCCAGTAACTTGTTGAGGTCCAGCAATAAGCTAAATATCATGAAAAGAAAAGTTAAAATAATTATCACTTAGAAAACTAGAAATTTTAAAGAAGAACTGTGAAATAATAGTAATGATAGTCACACAGACCCCAACCAAGTAGTCTGCATCTACCAACATGACTAAGACTAGAAGTTAGTGACTTTGTGGACTAATGCCACGTTTTGGTTTGGCTACCCCCAACTTTCTTCCATCCACCTCCAAAACACTAGTCAGCATTGCGCGTCATAGTAATCAGTGTTCAAGCATACACAACACGTGGCCCAACCATCTCAGTCGATGGATATTTACAACCTCATCAACTGATTTACCATCATTCCCTAATACCCTGCGTCTAACCTCACTATTAATTACCCGGGGATCCCAGCAGATGCGAGCAATATTTCTAAGGCATCTGTGATCAAATACTAGTAGCTTACGAATAGTTACGCAGCCTTCAAAACAAGACATAAAACAGTAAATATATAAAATTTCTTGTCAATAATACAATCCTTTCTAGTATAAAGTGTAATTTTGACCTCATACTCCCACCAACACAACGAAACTACTCACTTAGTGATAGCAATAACTTCTAATTCGGTAACTATTAATCCAACATTCCTATTACAATGGAACCTAAATTAATAACCTTTTCAGTAAATCTATTCTAATCAGATCATTGAGATAGGTAAAATTGACCATCAAATGGTGGTTTATCGAACTTATAGAAATCAGATAACATTGAGAAATCTGACTATCACTTGAGAACTTATTTGGATATATTTGATAGTGAATACTATCTATCCAGAACATTTACTGTTTGAAATATATCCTGTATAACTGGAAAAAAATTTGTTCATTATTGCATATACTCTAACCGGATCGTGGGTGCGCACAACTGAGGAGTCCGATACTAGGACGAAACGGCCGTCCAGTGCTTCCAGGTTTTCCATGGTGGTCTAGGTTCAATTGACTCATGATTTCAATCAGTGAAAATTCTTACTTGATCTATTACATTTTAACATGAATTCAGTTGATATAAATGAAGCAGAAAAAAAAGAACTTGGAAATTTCAATGATATTCATTATATTCCAGATAGCTATGACAACAACAACAAAACTGATCTGAATGTATGACATATCATGTGATGGATCAAATAGAAAAATTAAGTTGCGATAATACTTAGAATGAATTAGTGATTTGGAGGATACATCATTGATTGATTTGAACTCGAAAAACATTGAAAACTATCAAACACTACATAGTTGTGCTTATTGTATTGCTTTATGCTTATGGAATTGTAAAAACGACTATGCTAGTGTATGTCATAGTAATTTCAATTCATGAATAACCTAAGACTTAATAACCTCGATCACAAGTAAATAATATATATATATATCTTTTTTTTAATTCCGACAAATCAGATAAACAATGGTATATTACGAGTTAAGCTCATTGCTATTTAAAGTGTTATGGATATCAATGCATTTCAACATGAAAACCCTAAACTTTATCCATTGAACCATTTTACTACTCGTAAGTAGCTGAATAAAAAAAGATAAATTTCGTTAGTGTAGTGAGGTGTTGGAGGTGATAAGAAAAGTGTAATGTATTTGTGTTACATATTTAGAACAATCTAGTCATACACATGCTCATCAAGGTAAAAGTTCAATATCAGTATGTTCAAAAATATCTATTACTGTCTAAAAGATATTTTCAAAGCGATATAGGTCTATATGATACCTGATTTTAGTAAAACTTACACTTAAAAGATATAGAAATTAGATCGTGGTCAGCTTTAGACAAGAGAATGTTCACAGTTAACTGTTCTGTTAGACGTTATAGCATAAGGAATGAGTTTGTAGTTTATTACCACGAGTTAATCCCTTTTGAGTAACACAGTCTGGTAGTCAACATCGCATGGAGTAATCACTATGAATTCACTGTTCTCAATGTTGAACATAAAACAAATCAAACAAATTCTAGGAGGCATAAATGAAATATGAAAAACAACCAATCTCTCACTAATATAAAAACACATGTAGAGGTATGTCACTATATCTCAGATTGTTTCAAGTTGAAATTGTATTATTGAATATTGACTCAGTGGTTCTAATGGTTGAGTGCACTTCAGACTCATAATTTCTGGGTTCGACCTATGCTCCTGGAGAATCCCAGGTGGAAACGGAACAGCTGTCTAGCACTCTATAATTTTTAGTAGTACCCCAACTGAGACCAAACTATGACGAATGTAGGGGACAAATATTTAATACATAAAAGAGCCCAATCCAACTTACTCTTAAAGCATACTTAAACTGATTTTCCGCTTGATTCATACAATTCATTGACATAGCATACAAGCCAATTAAAGTATGCAACTGTGGGAGGCGTTTATACATTAGTGCAGGATTCGCTTGACATATTCGATATGCTTGACCAATATCTTGTGCAGCTGCTGTTTGTACACCCATTACTAAACGACCCATAGCCGTATGTTCGAGTAAACTTAAATGGAATACAGTAAGTAATGGACTAGTATCGAATACAGATAGTTTTTCAATTTGTATTAATGCTTTTTCAGCTGATCGTTTAGCTCTATCCAACATTCCAGCTTGCATTGATTGCATCACCGTAACAAGGTAAACTAGTATAACCATATGTTCACGAGGCATCCAATGAAATCGTTCAATTTCATTTGTTGATGCAGTATCAGCTGTTGAATTGAAATAAAATAATCAATAAACAAACAAAAGGAATTAAATAATTTGTCTCCTATTTAATAAACATGCATTTTGGTACAACTGCAAAATAAAAAAGCTCTGAGGTATACAAATAAAAGGAAAACATTATGAAGAAATAAAAGAAAAGAACAATAGCATATAACAAGAAATGGAACCAGGAATAATTCTTTCAGTTAAGGCAGCTCCCAGCACTTTATGAAGCATGTAAAACAAAGCTACACAGGATAGGCACCAGCTTCTATCCTGAGTCATGTATGATAACATCCCAAGATACTAAGTTGCACTAAATCTAAGATCCCAACCAGCCTTGCCGAACTACTTGACCTTCAGGTGCAAAGTAAATCTTGTACCTACAGATAATAAATACTAACTAATCAAGTACGACTTGGATATTTTGCGTATCATTGCACGGTAGGACAGTGTTATCTGTGGCTTCAAGGTTCAAGGGTCCTTCTCTAGGTAACGGATTCACACTATCATGTACTTCCTCCAGAGCTGTTTCTATGATGTCATTGATGAAAATGGTGAAGGTGAATATTGATATTGGCAAAATTTACTTAACCCTACTGCTGAACTGGAACAGTTAAGAGATAGTTGCATGCCCTTAATCTACCTGAGGTGTTTACGAACTGAATCTCCAAGATGTTACTAAATTCCTTAGGCGCACTCTTTCTCAATAGATAACATCGGAGTATAGTTCTGTCCAACGAATCAAGCGCCACATAATAGTATTACCACAATTTTACTGATGATTATCATCCGTTCAGTGAACAATCTTCTCTTATCCACTTTGCGCTAAATAACTGTTCTATTTTTATTGCGATGATAATATGTCAAGGTTAGCAGACAAGAAATATGCTGAACTGATCAATAATTAATACACCTCAACATATAATAAATATGCAACCAAGTTTAGAATTACAGTGTGGTATTCTGAAACAACTTTGTATTAACATAATGAATTATGAATAAATAACTCAAATGATAATTTTAAAATGCGTACTAAGAGGGTGTAGAACGTATGCTAGTACATTTGTCCAGTATTTCCAGGTTTTCAATGGTGATCTAGCTTAGACTGACTCGTAAATTCAACCGCTAAAATAATACAAGCTTCACAAACCCCCATACTGATAGTACATTTGTGTTAAGAAAATTAAGATGAAGAGATATTCTTTTTGAAGATGATATCAAATTAGAAGTTGACTGGTAAAATAAATACTTAGACGAGCAAATACAACTCCAATAATGGAGAACAAATTGGCATCCTACGCTAAATTTAAACAAACCGGGAACAGATTTTACAAGTCAACAGTCGAAAGTTAAACAGTTGAATTATTGAGTTATAACTTCATTAATTTCATATTTGAATATTTTTAATAAACACAGAGATGGAATAGGAAAGACATGTTCATTACATTCAGCTTCAGGTCACACTATTTGTGAGTATTAGTGATACTACCCAGCTTTCTAAAGCGAAATAGGTGCAGTATGTTTTAAACCTGTTTTTATTGGTTTATTTGAACATATGAATATTGGTACAAGGGGGCACCAGACATATGTGCGCCACACTTTGAACCTGAGGTCTGTAGGTTAAAACCTGGGATAAGGAGTGGCTGGTCAAGTGTGACATATATCTCAGCTATCTTCCTAGATTACAGTTCATGGTCTAATCAACCTGTATGTCATTTTTACCTGAAATCTTGCGTCAAACATCAGGATTAATCGCTCACCGGTTTATTAACTGACAACAATAATTCGAAGACAAGTGACATAAGTTCGCCCCACTATTTGTCAGCTTGAGCTATAAGATTTACTGAAGCGAAGCTATGAAACCTTGGAAACAGATTAGACAGGGAACAGGAACATGCATCGAAGAAGAGGAAAATTTGATAGTATCTATACTAAGTAGTAGTATTACAACCATCAAACAAACTATAGTAGGAAATATCACAAAATAACGGCAATTAATACTTATGCTCATTCTGTGTTAAATTCACCGTTAATAGTCCTAGTCTGATTATTAAAGCTTTTGGTTTTCCAATTAGCAGGTAATAGATTTTAAATCTACTCACTACCCCTCATATACAATGTAACGAGGAGCTAAGTATATAAATCAGTACTTGGTAAGTAAGTAAGACTTGTAGTCAAAGCTTCTATGGTATTTTCAGTTAAACAAGTGATTTTAACTAAAAACACAAATTACCTTCATCCATAGCAGCAAATTGTTGAATACTTTGATGTAGTTGTCGTAATATTGGATGGGCAGATTTTGCTTGACCAGAAATAAGATAAAATGAAACATGTAGAACAAGGTAAAATACACGTAAAGCTTCACGATGATACATATTTCCTTTGAATTGTTCAATTAATCGACTAACATTGGTTAATGTGACTGTAACTTCCGGAAGTTGTCTACTTGCCAAAAGTAACTGTAAGTACATAAAAATCAACAAGAAAATTGTCATAAAAGAACTGGTTATATTATCATAAATAAGTATTCTGTTACTTGACGTTTTACATAATGCTACTGGTTTCTAATATTTCTCTACAACAAACTACATATCTAACAAAATGATGGAGAATTTTTAAGAAACGACACTGGTAGTACTTTGTTCTACTGGAAATCAGTGAAACATCTTTCCTTTCAGAAAATACTTATTTGGCTATGTTGATTTTGCTTTATTGCTAATCTCTAAGTAATAAGGGGTATGTCTAATCACAGAATTCTTTGCATTTAGTAGCTTGAACAAATTCTAACGATAAACACTGTTAAATATTATATAACTACTATTATAAACCCCTCCCCCCCACACACACATACCGACAACAATTAAAGAAACAGGGAAATAATAAACAACTGACCATGCATTTACTTAATAGAAATAAACCATTTGTATAATCGGAATTATGTAAACGTGCATATTCTGAGCCCATTGCCAATATTTCACAAGCTGAATTCACATCTCGTTCAGCAATATGAGCTTGCTATAAAAACAATAATAAACAATATAATCTAGTGAATTGTTAAATTAAAAGAAATTTATGTCTAATATTTATAAATGTTAAATAAGATCTTTGATAACTGATCGATCTTAACTTTGATTTATGTATGAAATTTCATAGTTGTAGTTGTCATTTGAAGTCAAATCGGTTGAGTATTTACTTAATTACCACAGTTAAGCAATTATAATTAACATGGGACCTAGCGTAAATGTGAGTTGATAGCAGTTGCCATACTACAATATTACAACGACATGAAATTAAATAGATGAGTAGGAAACGAGACAAAATAATCTTGGGAGTAATGACAATGAGAAAAGCTAAACGTTGAGAGTATGATTCGAAAAAAAGAGAATGAAATAGGATACATGAAGAAAGACTAAAACTTAATATCTGGGCGAAGATAAACAGTGAACGTAACTGAGTCCTTTTGGACGATTCTGAGTCATGTTCACTCAAAGTCTCCAGTTACTGATCCCGGTTATTGTGAGGACTACAATCAAACAATATGTGCCTATCAACATAGCTTAGGCCAACAGTCAATAATTGCATTGATTGCTACCGCATATTCACTTAGTCGCTCCTAAATTTCTTCAAACTTGCTCGTAAACCAATCAACAATGAACGTCAAGGTAGGTGGTGGTTACGCATACGTATCAGATGTTCCGGATACTTGGGTCAACAAAAATTCACCTTATTGATTAGACCAATAGAATTTTAATTAACAGTTAGTAAATTTGAAATCCAATTAACTTAATTCAGTTTATGAATCTGGGTAATATCATTAGTCCTCGTATACAAACGGTGTGGTACAAAGCTGAATACATAAACCTGTACTTGATAGATGATTTAATCTATTCACTTATTATTATCATTACGATATTTATAATTTCTATCCATTGGACGAGTAAATTAATCGAATTGGGGAGGAGACGCAGATGGATCCATGTATAGTCTAAAGAAATATTTTACGGAAACTTCACTTTAACAGTTAACACTTACTGCCAGTTCCAATAAGATTCGACAATGCCAATATGGACTGTTATTTGATAATCTGATGGCATCATTTAGAATACAAGTTGCTTCATATCGTTTACCCTAAAATTGTGAAACAAGAGAAGTCATGTGAAAACAAAGCTTTCGTAATAAACATTCAGCCCTCAAATGCTCTCACATAACCACGCGTATACACCCACTGCCAGGAAAGTCTTACTCACAGCCTTTTCGCGCCACCGGTGTTGTTTATGAAATTCAGGGGACAAAAAGCGAATGTCCGGCGCTTTAACCGGGCTTCTGGGCACAGATGGTACATCTAGGGGAGTTAGAAAACCCTGATTCCAAACCAATGGTCACATGGGCTCCAGAATCCTGAGAGAACAAATAGCGCACAAGCAAATTATTGCTTACCGACTGCATCTTGTGACGTTGCTCCACTGCCTTGTGAATTAGGTCGAAGGCTCCGTATGTGGCCCTTTAAGAAAACTACCTGATTTGGTCTGGGCACCCAGACAGTATCATATCCCACACACAAATCAAGTGACTTGTGTGGCGCATATGGATTCGGTGCCTCTTTGTACCCAATCAAATAAATAAATATAAAGATTTAACTTTATGAGTAAAACATTTACTCCCAGAAATGGGATTTGGAGTGTGAAATGTGGGATTATCTAAGTCAACAATCAGCAAAGTTATCTCATCTATGAATCAAAAAGTTATCTAAATCTGGTGTTTCGTAAACTATAGATTTTGTTCCTATGGATAAAAATTAACATAGCAGTGTACAGATCTCAATGTTCTTGGTTCAATATAGACGTGTTTGAGAATATAAAGCAGACTATTTGCTGATACTTTTGTGACATTTTGACTGACATTAGATTATAAAAATTAGGTAAATATTGTTTTCAAACAAAACAGTAGTCAGATAAAAATATTCCTTTTGACATCATAGAACTGCACAAAAAACTATGGTATAATTTATATCAGCAAATGAATTAGGAGTTTTTAATAGTAAAAATGAAAGAAACACTTACTTTTCTTTCAAAGAACTCAGCTAACAATGTAGCAGCTTCAAATTTGATGGAATCATCACTAGCTTTTAGATGTGCTCCCAAAGTACGAGCCTTTTCCAAGTGAAATTTTGTTTGTTCATCGCTTTTGCTATAATGAAACAGTAGCCGTCCCAGTTGTAAATGTGTGCGAGCTTCTAGATTGACAGAAAGTTTGAACTGAAGAATAGCTTTGAGACAATGAACGGCAAGTCGCATATTAGGAGGACTCATTGTCCTGAAAGTTTCAGCCAATCCCAAAAGAGCAGCATAACAATCAGACACAAGAGGTCCATCTGCTGGTAGTTCTGAGCTTATATGACTTGCTTGAATGGGTTGAGAAATAGGTTGTGAATAACATGCTAGTGGTTGTGATGATGGTACTGTGGAAGCCAGAATATCAGCACTGTAAACAGTCTGTGTAGGGGTCATTGTCTTTTGATGAGTTATTGGATTGATAGGAGACCATAATTGTGGTTGAGATGCTTGAGATAATGATGAAGTTGCAATATTTGTTCCTTGCATTGAAATCCTCGATGCAGTAATTATCAGCTAATAGTATTTCGACTGTTTTGTTAACCTAATCACAAGAAATAGTTTATGAGTAATATTGTGGATATAGTCTGAGAATTGTCACAATAAGTGCCCAAACCAAACAGAAGTGACTATTTGGAAACTTATTAAAAGCAAGGATCTATAACGAAGACGTATATTAGTAGAATTTCTTGAGATTATGCACGGACAAATAATGTCGCCCCATCCCTACGACAACATTCTGCACGCACGAAATTACTAGGAAACTCTGATATTTTATTTCCATCCATTTAAAATCTAATTGTTGTATGAAAATTTGATTTGTCGAACTTCTATAGCTCTAATCATTTAAAGAGAATGTGAGGAAGTGAGTAGAAAATTGATGAAACCCACAACCTTATTCATATAATTTAACAAGTTGTATGTTATGCTTGTTATTATGTAAGCTAAGAATGACAACCAACTATTGAAATAGAAGCCAATTTATATCTGAACTTGAAACTTAATGATCGTAGGTTATGTGCCCGTACGCTAACGATTAACAATTATCCCTCTGACCATTTTCAAACTGTAGAACTTCAATTCTGTATCTTGGATAGATTTTTTAGACAAAAAACCTGCAATAAGCGGGTTAACATATCCAGGTAGTAGTATTACTGAAGCGGTAGCTTAGTAGTTTAAGAACCCGACTTTTAACCATAAAGTCACAGGTCTGAACCTCAGTAAACTATATTGATCTGAGTAGACGAGCAGTATCAATAGCCCTCTCAAAATCAGGTACATAGGTCCTGTACTACATAAATGAGTTGTATTACTAATATATCACTGATCTTTATACACATGTAGCTGATAATCTAAACCGGATTATGTTTCCAGTAGGCCTTTAAGAAACTAGGATCAGTTCAGATAATTGAACTATGATGCTAAAATCGATAAACAAAGGCCCGCTTCATCATACACCTGGGAAACCGAGATGTAGATGTATACTACTAATTCTCATGGCAAAACTAAACATCCTAGCATTTGAAGTTTTTCCAAAATAAAAATGAAGGTTTGACAGCTTCCGGTTAAGCTTATTTGTCGTACCAGCTGAATTGTGGTCAGGAATAAGTAGATGAACTGTAAATACATATCGAAAAGTTTTTACAAAAGAATTTAATCGAAAAAGACCAAAAGACTACTGGAAATAATATGGAGGTCTAAGGTTTTCTACCCTAAGACATTATAGTTATGTAGCGATGTCTTAATTACTTTAAACACTAAGATTTTAACAGGAAGACGACTGGGTTAAACCATATTCAGCTAACCTAGGTCGTACAGTCAGTTATTATCACTTGCTCGTAAACAACAGAAGTAATTCATAGCCTAATAAACAGAATTCTGCGGTTTCTGGGTCGACTTATTACTAGTATATAACCTCAAGGACTGACCTCTGAATCCATAAATACCCGCAACGTGAAGCTTAAAGACTAGACATGCGAAGCGGAAAAGATTAAATGACACTTGAGTAGTGCCTTTTGAAAACACAATACCAACTGATAGCTCAGTATTCTGTAATTTTGACATGCGAAACTTGCCGTACAACTTTACGAATAGCTTAGATGCTAAAGGATACAACAATTAGATAACGGTAGTATGTTAAGAATGCATGAAGAAAGGGGGTAAAACAGTGGAGGCTACTATACAAATAACCTAGGGGGATAATTCACACATCCAAGAGTGAGTCTGACTGCTACTAGAACATGGATTATCATAAACTTTTGTTAGTCTAAACTATTGATTCTTCTTTGTAGCCGAGTTATTTTTTAAGTTTTGTTTGCGTCCTAACGTATAAAACTTTCTTTTACACTTATTCAAGTTAAACTTTTAGTTACAGCAACATAGAAGTTATAGCTTTTTGTGTTATGTTTATCACTTTTAAAGCTCTCGAAACACCATTATTCTAGAAATCTCCTTTTCGTTTTCATCGTCCTTTGTTTCGTTTTCCGCGGTCAGCTAGACTCTTTTCGCCGTTCTGTTCGTGAGTTTGCTTAAAAATTTTAATGACGCACATAAAATATCTTTGTGGTAGAACCACATGCTTCTTTCCAATCAAGAATGAAATGCAACGTGACAACTTCAACAAAAGGTATCTCAAAGTGTGTACCGGACCCGCATCGGCAGCATAAAAGAGTTGTTACAAGCCACTATCATATTGGCTGTTCAAGGCATGCTGCTCTACAGTCTCTGTTGATTCTGGAGGCGATTGAGCTGTTAAACACAGTTAGAAAGCTTCCCTCGGATAAACAGCCTGCAGCAGATGAGCAGCTGTCAGATCTCGAGGAAGCGATGAGTCGTCATAGATCCAGCTTTAGATCTGAATGAAACCATCAAGATGGACACCCAAAATGTAAAGGATGACAAACACATGTAGCACAGGTTACAGGGAAAGAGAAAAAGCACGCTAAGAAGAAACAAATTACAGAGAGCACTAAAACATGAGTGGACGGTTTCAGCTACAGAACCCCACATCAACGCGAAACAAACTATGCAGGAGAAAAGCCTGAACATTCTAGATTTGATTAAGAAACAAAATAAAGTCAACGATTGGTTTACAGTAGAACGTAGAAAACTAAGGAGAAAGAGTGGTAGCTGCACATCTGTACGCCTGACGCCAAATCGGACTGAGGGGATGAGAAAAGTTGAAGAAAACACCTCGAAGCTTGTCGAAACAGGTCTTGCAGAGAAGTCAGTCATTTCCCATAATTTAAGAGTCTTCCGAAAACGAACCAAATACTAGGTTTCAACACGACCTAATGCATATTAAGTCCTTAACCAGCAAACTACTCCCGGAAACAGTAGCAGGAGTTATTATTCATAAGCTCTATATGATAGGACAAAATTGGATTCCGAAAGTACTTAGGCAAGACTCCTCTTAAAAGTTACTTTTGCTTCCACTGAAGAAAGAAACTTAATAATGGAAAATTCACGCAAACTGGCTGAATCCGGAATATACGTCCGTGTAGAGATCAGTTTGATTGATTCTATCAAGAAACGATCGGTAGGAGATATTGATGAGCGCCGTTGGGACGATGAAAAAAGCCTTATACTTAAGGGTTTCATCAATGTAAAAGTTCGGAACAAAATGGCCTCTTAAACCACGCGATGGTATGGGAAAGCATTTCATAGAATCAAAGGTATGCTATACAAATTCTCGCAGCCTACCAAATGAAATGGAGGAGTTTAAAAACGTGGTGGACAGAGAAATCCTTGATGTCATTGACATCTCAGAAACGTGGTTAACGTCGTGTGTGATAGTGAAATTCAATTGCTTGGTTTCCTAATTTGTAGGGCTGATAGACTAAACAGTAGTGTTTGTGAGGAAATCCGTATGCACGTGCATCTCAGGTGGACAGAAGTCCTCGTTAACTGGCTTAAAACATGACTAATGCCTATTAACGCGACTAAGTGCGTCTACGTGTACACTGAGGAAGCAAAAGCAAAAAGGTAAAGAGCTGGGGAAGATTCGTTGCCCGTAGTTCGATCTCCCAATGATCTTGTGGTGCCAGTGAGCCATGGTCTTAAGACCACAGCCCACTACCGTGAGGTTGTAACCGAGGGGTTTAGATCACTATAAGCTTTAAGACGAACATTCACCAAGTTAGACACTACTGTGTTCACTACAGTATACGCAATTTTAACGAGAACTAATCTTGAACACTTCGTTCAGGCTGCACACCCTTGTTTAAAAGGTGAATCGATTATCTGAGAAAACATACAAAGGGTAGTCACCCGTGCAATTCTAGAACTCCGATGTTTACCATGCAAAGAGTGGCTTGAGAATTTAGACCGCTTTACTATGTCGTACCGTAGATTGAGGTGATTTGGTTTTGGCGTATAGAATACTAAGAAGTGCTTTTGGACCTGATATATCCTCTTTTTCCTCCTACCACATCAAGATAACTCAGAGGACGTAGAAGGCGAGTACAAATAGAATGACGTATATGGGCAGAATTTAGAATCAATCTTCAAACCCTTTTTCTCGAGTAAGAAAATATAATCATTCGGTAAGTTGACCATATGGAGGAAACTTATTATCGCTTCTACAGATCATTCAATTTAACTAGACACTTAAACCCATGTTAAAAAAATATAACGCAAACTATATACAAACAAAATTTATCATGTACAAGCTATCCCAAAATCTAATAACTAGTGTAACTAGACGTCTGTATCATTTGTGTATCATGTGTGAAACATGGGAACTCCATATATATTATATATTTCGAGTAATGATATTCGGAGCATATTTTAATCCAGGCTTCAAAGAGGCCTTTATCGAGAAACTGTTTCTTTAGAAAGGGCTACAACCTTATCAACAATAAGCAGGTTAGTCAACACATATGTTTGGGTTGAATTAAAAAAATATTGTGCTGTTGTTGGTGAGATAGTCTATGTGTTTACGAAGACACTTACACTTTTCGACAGAAACACTTTGGCGATATACGTAAAAACCAGTTTCATAGAAGTGAGAATCAATTAAGCAAAGCCATAACCGCACAATACAGATTACTTTATGCGTTACTCACCAACTTTGAAAGGGTGGTCTTAAGGTTCAAGCTACAATATGTACCGATTAAAAAGGCCCACATAAAGTTCCCAAGGTCTTTAAAACATGATAATGTGATGTCCAACCTTATCAAATGAATCTATTTTATACATGCAAGATTGCAAGAAAACTGACGTTGCGCGCTATTTAAAAAGGACAGTGGTATTCTTTCTCGTTGAGTTAATTAACTGTTTTGATCGTAAATTACGCATCAAAACTACTGTTTACACTTTAATTGCATCTACCCCAGTTAAAGTGATATTTTATTGAGTTTTTCGATTTTGCTTCTGTGTATTTATTGCATCGAAGCATACTTGGTCGACTTTTACTTGGTTTATTTAGTTAAGGTTTGGAAATCCTTTTACATATCCTGTTTTTGTCACCGTTCTAGTTGATTTTCAAG